TCTTTCTGGCGAGTGCATGCGCCCTATAGCAAAAACCTCTCCAAAAAAAAAAAGTTATATGCAAATTTTCGAATGCACAAGGGTTTGCTGCCTCTAACCCCAGCATTTCCAAGTGTCAGTTGTTTGAGGGGACTTTAAAAAGCTTGTGGAGGGCCAGTAGATAGTATAGAGGTTAAGGCTCTGGCCTCCTGTGCAGTTTGAGTCCCAGACTCGGTTGTTTGAAAATCACACTAGGTGTGTGTATGCCCAAAATCCTAAAAGGTGACTGGAAAAGAAGGGACTGTAGCATGGCCATACCCCCCGGGGGGGTGATTTTTCACCACCTTCTGTCTCTCTCTTTGGCTAGCACACACACCCTATAGCAAAAACTAAAAATAAATAAATAAATAAATAAGTTTTTAAATGCTTGTGGAAAAATGGAATTTAAGTACAAGTGTATTTTAGTGTAAAAGAATAAAAATCTATGTATTTTTTCCTTAACGCACACTTTCCACTAACTTTTTGAAGGTCTCTGTGCGTGTATATATTTTTCATAGAAAAATTACTATAAGTCTTCACACCTGTTAGTAATGGCTATCTCTGGGTAATATTAGAGGCTGTTTTTATCATCATCCTAGGGTTTTTTTTTGCTATAGGCCATGTGCACTTGCCAGAGAGAGAGAGAGAGACAGAGAAACAAAAAGCAAGAAATCACCCCGCAGGGGGAATGGTCATGCTGCAATCCCTTCTCCTCCATTCGCCTCTCAGGATTTTAGGCATGCACACACACACCCAGCATGAGTTTTAAGCTGCCAGGTTGGAACTCAATCCACAGTCGACTATGTGGGAGTCCAGTGATGTAAACATTATGCCATTTGCTGATCCCGCAATACTTCATGTTTTATATCACTTATTAGTTATTTTGTGGTGTCTGATCACAGGGGAGTAAACTTTTCAACCAATCTTTGGAAATTTTTTTTGAGAATGAGGAGTTATGTATCTGTAATCTCTAGGAACTTTTGACTACAACCAAGTATCCTTCAGACACAAACTTTTGCACCCTGAGGTCTGTGATAGTTCCCAATTTTTGGACTATAGACCCCTGAGGAGGGAGGAAGGCTACTTAAGGCAAAGAGTACATCTATCTTTAGATGCATAAATGTTTTTCTAACTCTGTGAGATCTAAAAGTACAGCTACCATTGTGGGTGTGAGTGGGAGGAGTGAGATTTTTTTTTTTAATCTTAAGAAGGGGTCCTTATACCTAAAATGGTGGGGACCACTGGAATAGAATTTTAAAATGGCTAATCATCAGCACCAGAATCCAAAGATGCTCTCAGTTTCTGCCCTTTGAATCAGGGTTTATATGTCTTTGCCTAGTACTAAAGGAGATCACATTTATCATTTGCAGGCATTGTCTTTGCCACCTATTCTTATCACATTTGTGTACATTCACTATCGATTGGTTTGTTTATCTAAAAAATTCACTCATATCTCTGCTTTTCTAAGCTCAGGTCTTGACATCTAAAGCCAAATATGTCTCCAGGATAGCTTATTATGTAACACTGCCCTCACCCTCTACCACACCAAATTCACTCCTGCTTTCCCTCTCCTGCTGTTGGCAACATTATCCACCCAGTTCCCAAATTAGAAACCTTTGACTGCTCCATTTCCGTCACCCTTCACATCCAATTGATCACCATACTCAATAAAGTTTACCTCTCCAATGTACCTCAGAACCATGCTGTCTGCTCCATGCTCACTGCAACTGCCTGCCTATTACACAGCAGCTTCTCTATGGACTCTTCCCTTGGGGAAATCACTCCACAAGGCAGGCAGAGGGCCCTTTCTAAAATGCAGATCTGCTCATGTCATGCTTAAAATCTTCAGTGCCTCTCTATTGTCTACAAGATAAAGCCTAGAATCCTTTGTTTGTCATTCCAAGCATGGCCCAATCTGGCCAGCACCTTATTATTATTTTTTTTTTTAGCTTCATCTCCTATGACTCCACAAAGGCGTCAACCTTGTTCTCTGGTCACCTTAAATACACCATTTTATTTTTGTGCTCTTTGGAATGTTCTATTTTATTTCTCTTTCATAACTACTCATCTCGAGCACATTTCCTCTAGGGAGACTTTTCTTGACATGACCAGCTGGAACTCACCTGTCTCTTTAATCAACTTGTAAATTTTTCTATTATTAATGCTAACAACACTTTACAGCACTTATGTTCCCCGTATTTATTCTTTCTGTATGTAAACTCATCAGGGGCAGGTCTCATGTTTTTTTCCATCTCTGTGTCTCCTAAGCACTAGCCATCCTGACCTCACTGTTCTCTTTGTAACATTGACTGTGCATAAGTGGGCCAATCTGCTAGGAATGCCCTTCTTCCTTTCTCCCCTTCTCTGCATAGGAAAACATCTGTTCATCCTTTGAGACTGGTCTCAAATACAGTTTCTGAAATCTTTGCATTTCTCAAGTAGAGTTAGCTGTTCTCCACTTTTGTTCTACCCTTCTGGTCAAACCTTGATTAAAGCATTTGTCACATAAACATTTTATTGTAATTATCTGCTTACATCACTGCCTTCTCCCACCTCATCCCCAGTCCCATCCACAGCCTGTAAGATCTCAGACAGCAATTCATCTTTGTGTTTCTAGCACAAAGCATAGTGGGTAAGCAATAATACTTCCTTAATCCATAATGAAACAAAGTACTGGGTTGTCAGAAAAGTCATTATGTACTTTTCTATACAAAAATGCATCATAACTTTTCTAGTGACCCAATATATGGCCCATGGTGTCCTGGGAAGAACTATTGGGTAAGTCAGTAAGCTTTGAATACTTATTCATATAACTGGTCAAGGCACCTTTGGGTAGGTGCTGGATTCGTAGGCCTTTCTATGTCTTAACTCTAAACCTCTCCTTGTTACTCTGCCAGGTGCTTAATGCTCAGCAGTTGGTGCAGTGCCCTTCTTCACTCCCCATGAACCTTGGTTCTGATGCAACCTATGGTCATGCAGGGATGCCCTTACACCCTTCCACGATGTCATGAGTGGCGGGCAGCTGTTCAGTTCCATCATAGCAGCAGCCTTCGAAGCACCTGTCCCCAGCCTCAGGTAAGAGTCTGACTGATATAAGAAGAATGACCTATGGAGAAAGAGTGAAGGCAGGATCTAGGTGGGCACCTTGGAACACCCATGCTTCCTAAGGCTCACAGCATGATCCATATACATGAAACTCCTCGAATAGCATGGGGCCTCCTTCAGACCCTTTCTTTGTCATTCATGAGGACTTTTATGGGGGCATGGGCAAGGAAGAGTGTTGGGATTGGGCAAGCCAAAGAGCCCACCATAGCTGAGAAAGGCTGGTTCTCTGCTAACTTCCCTAGGATTATAGAACCAGGGAGGTCCCAGAAGAGTGTGATTCTTCAGTGCATGGCTTAGGATAAGGCAGAATCTTCCCTTGCCTTGGCTTCCATGTGGCATACCTCACATTCTGCAGTTACCTCTCTCTTGCCAGTGGCTCTTCCTCTCAAGTCCCTAGTCTTCCTTGTACCTCCTGGCTCAGTATCACTTAGAATTCTGAGTTTCATTTCTACCTCTCCTCTCTTTCCTCCCCTGGGAGTGAGGTGGCAGTGATATGTGTGTCTGCCTGGGTCTGCTGGTAGGTGGTTAGAGTACATGTGAGAAGCATCATCTTGAGAGGACAACCCCATTTCTTGAAAATGAGGAAGGTCTAGGGAAGGTTGGCTGGAGAAGGTAGATGCATACACATACTTTGGGTTGCCCTACAATACTTTGGGGTCCAGAGGCCATGGAGGTGTGAGAAAATGCTATGTTTCCCAAAGTCTCACAGATGCTGAGTCACTGCTAGGGAAGCAGGCAACAGCTGAATCTATAGGAAGAGGAAGGGAGGAGGAAATGCAGAGGATATGGAGAATGTAGATGCTGAGGAACCTGTTTTGGGGAGACTAATGAGGGAAAGTCAAGATCCAGAGAGGCATGGGGGGAGGGGGTGGTCAAATCTGCCAGATCTGTTTCCTTACATATAGCCAGAGAGAAATTAGCTGCTTCCAACATATTTTCAAGGCCAAGGTCAACTTAGAGTCCCCCTGTGCACTTACCTCTTCCCCAAAGTGGGAAACCTAAAGGCTTGTCCTGTTGCTTGTCTGCTCCTCCAAACTTTACCACCTAGGCATTGGAATCTGAGGACTTAATTCTGTAATCACAAATGGTAAGCCCCAACCTCTTCCTTCTGTCCTGGTCTTCCCTTCCCTGTGGCCTTAGTCTCGAAGTTTCAAGGGATGAGTAGATGGAGTAGAAGGCAGTAGATAGGGAAAATGAAAGAAAGCAATTATTATTCATTATTTGCCTGTTGTGTGCCTGGCTCTGCTAGGTGGGACTAGAGAGTATGTGGGAACTAGGAGAAGGAAAAAAGGCTTTTGGAGCCAGGTGAGGCTTCAGAAACTAAGAGGAAGGCTGGAGGGCATGAAGGAAGGCTCACATGAGTAGGGCCCAGCTCGTAGTGGGTGCTTCCTCCAGAGCCAGGACAGTTTGACGTGGCTGGGTCATAAAAGGCTGTTTCTAACTTTAGGGCATTCCTAGTCTAGGGGACTTTGTGAGACTGGCTTCAGTCCAATTATCCTAGCACAAGTGAAGCTGCCATGGGGAGCTAGAGCCATTTCCCACTCTTGGCCTTTCCTCCCCTGACATCTCCCAGCCACCCCAGTTTGCTCCACCCCAGACACCCAGAAGGGTCAAGCAGCTGTTCCAAGTATTCCTGTAGGTGGGTCTCAGCATGGAAACAATGTGGAACTGTGGAAGGCCCAGAAGACTTTGTGGGAGATAAATGAGGATGGGAACAGAACTCTTTTTGGTGAAAATGAAGTGTTTTCCCTCAATGCTAAGGGGTGGGAGCCCAGTCGGGAATGTTAACCTTTCCTCAGGCAAGTCTGCTAGAGAAGAGTAGCCAATTCAGGAAGCCAATTCAGCCAGTGGGTTATGAGGAAGGGCTTTCCCCCGCCTCCAGCCTCTACCCAGGATAGCACAGGCTGGGCACAGGAGCCTCCCCAGCACTGGTCCCCTGCATGGAGCTGCCAGGTTTCATTGTTCCCTCTCATTCCCCTGCAAAGGTTCAAGGGGATGCCCAAAGACCACTCATTTCTTTCTGGCTTCAGGGTACAGGGAGAGATCTAGGGGCTGTAGCTGTCCTTCCACTCTTCTCTGCTTCCCAAAGGCATGGCAGTGTGTCCTCTCATTTTCACAGTGGGTTCTGATGAATCTCCTGGTCCCTGCACTCATCTGAGGATAATCAAATTCAGAATGATTCTGATGTCCCAGCTTCTACATTCTGCCATCTCTTGGCACTGTCCCCAGGTGTGCACACACATTCCTCACTGCCTCTGGAGAGGTTTACTTAGCTGAGGGCAAGGTTTCCTTTCCAAGCCCATCCTCCTGCCAGACCTTGGAGAAATTGATTATCAGAGGTTTATCACCAAAGTGTTCTAATCCTTTCCTCTACCTCAGGGCAGTGGGCCTGGAAGCAGAGGGAATCCTTTGTGTCCTCCGTGAAAGGGGAAAATAAATCAACAGAAGCTACTCTCTGCATGCCCCTCCTTAGCAACATGGAATGCCCAGTCCCACTCCTGCCATCCTTGCCAGCCTGGGAGGGCCATCCTGGCCTCGGTGTGGCGGGGGGGGGCGGGAGTGAGCCGGAATTCCCCAGGGACAAAGCCCTGATTCACCGGCCAGGCCCTGACATAGCCGCCCCCTCCAGATTCCTAGGGGGTCAGTAAACAAACAGGGTGACAGCCCCCGCCTCCTGGCCCTGGCTCTGCTCTGCTCTGCTCTGCGTGCATCTTTGAGCAGCCTTGCTCTGAGCTGGTCAGGACGCTGCCTGCGGCTCC